CAAATTAGACCTGAAGTATTATTGCAACAAAGGTGAATCTAAAAATGCATATTTTTTTGTCAGTGATGACTTCTCTTTTTGTTCACATTTTCACACTTCGGGAAGTTTACTTTCTGGTACGGTTCAGCTCTCATACTTTGCATACTCACATACTTTGAAAGACTTGGGTCATGATTATTAATTGAGTTTTTTAAAAATTTTTATCCTTTTTTAAATATGATTATGTCCCAAAGTGACAATTAATTTTGTCCATTCTAGGGAGGGGCAATGATTTATGATTTTGGATGCATCAATATTAAAATTCTGGCTGGTAAAGATAAGCTGTTATTTTTATGTATTAAAAATGAAATCCAAACATTAAAATTAAATATTGGCTGGTAAGTGATGAAGCTAAAATGGAAAATGATGCAATGTCGGCAACAGCCTACATCCTTATGTACACACGTACATACAGTGGGTATGGAAAGTATTCAGACCCCCTTAAATTTTTCACTCTTTGTTATATTGCAGCCATTTGCTAAAATCATTTAAGTTAATTTTTTTCCTCATTAATGTACACACAGCACCCCATATTGACAGAAAAACACAGAATTGTTGACATTTTTGCAGATTTATTAAAAAAGAAAAACTGAAATATCACATGGTCCTAAGTATTCAGACCCTTTGCTCAGTATTTAGTAGAAGCACCCTTTTGATCGAATACAGCCATGAGTCTTTTTGGGAAAGACCCAACAAGTTACCCACTGTATATACATACATATACACATATACATATATATATTAGGAACACGTGTGTATATATATATAGTAAAAATATACATACAAGTGTAAAAATATATGTTTAATACAGTATATGATTTGTTTTTTTATTTTCTTATGTCTTCTTGCATCTTGCATTGATTTTTTATGGCAGCACATAATCAAGGATTCATATCATACAAGAGACATGTGCATCTGCAAATAAATATGCATGATCATGCATGCAAAATAAATTTGTGCATAAACAGTCATGGGATTCGGCAAAACTTCAACATGGCCTTGAATGGCGTTGAGGTTGAAGCTAATGGGCATAGCCCAGAAAAATTACAGAGACTGGACAAGCATCTGCCATAGGGCCCTTGGCCTTCATCCAGGCATGAACAGAACTTGAGAAAGGGCTCATCAGGCTGTAGACCTTGGGAACACGGCCACTTGTGAGAGAAGCGGAAGAGATGGTTTATTTGAATGGGTCTCCTTATTAGTTGTCATTCTCTTCAAAGGTTCCTCTGGCCTATTTTTCTAGCTAAGATTGAAGTGGCCCATGAAGAAGTAGGAAGCTAAAACCTGTGTTATTGGCCTGAAATCTTGATGTGGGTTGAGACTGCAGATGTGTTTTTTTTTATGAAGAGATTAGTGCCACAACACACACTCAAAGGTTAAGGCACACTTCCGACTTTGAGGTGCTGTGTTACTAATTGAAATGTTTGATCTATGGACATCTGAGAAGAAAAGGCTGTGCTCTATATCTTTCGTTTCAAAGAGTGACTTCCATTCTGAATGCCACTGGAGAACAAGACGTCCTGAGTATGACGGGTTATAGCTTGCACACCAGCCAGGATGAAGGATGATGGCATTTTATAAACTGTTTCTAGGGTGTTCTGGGTTATGATGATCTTGTCCCAAATTATGGTTTGGATTACTCTTTCAATGTGAGTCTGCTGGATTTTTTTGCCTGTTGTATCGTCTGTGAGTTCATTTCTTTAGAAAAGTAATAGCACATCTCTCAGGAACAACCCGTAGGATTTTTGATTTCATTTACAGTGCAGGATGAGCTACATGGTGCATTTTAATGCTTAACAATTTTTCTGAAGGTGGGGTATTTATGAACCGAGTATATTTTTATGCAGTTCTGCACACAGATGAATAATGAAATTGTTAGAGCTTTTTATTTAATGCAGTTTTTTACAAATGAAGTGTCAGTGTTTGTCTTGTGCACCAAATGATGGTACTGCATTTGTGCTTCATTTGTGAATATCTGAATTTGCATAGTAGTGCTTCATTTTCAGAGCTGCTAATCAGAAAGCTACTGGTTTGATCCCTGCAAGGAGCTTGCAGACCCATAATAGTGTGAAATATTATTAGTTTTAAATCTGGTTTCTATTTGAATATATTTTAAAATGTAATTTGTTCCTGTGATGCCAAAGCTACATTTTCAGCAGCCATTACTCCAGTGTCACATGATCCTTCAGAAATTAATCTAATAGGCTGATTTAATGAAACACTTCTTATTACTTCTTCTTGTACTTATTAATATTTTAGCAGAAACTGATACTTTTTTCAGTATTGTTTGATGAATATAAAGTTCAGCATTTATTAGAATTTTTTTGTGACAATGTATAATAATTTTCTGTCTTTACTGTCACTTTTGATAAATTTAATGTGACCTTACTAAATAAAACTAATAATTTCTTTTAAAAAAACACCCACACTGGCTTGAACGTTTGAACAGTAATATAAGTGAAATTGTAAGAATCTAATCTTTGCTGATGTAAGTGATTCAAATAAAATACCGTCTTTTAATGAAAATATCTGACCGATCTACTGTTTACCACAAATATGCAGGGAAAAACTTCTAATAATTATATATTTAGTGCAAGATTTTCTTAATTGATGGCTAATTTTGGACCCTGCCTATATCACATAGATTCATGGAAACAATCCTTTCATATTGTCAGGTAGAGGCCGTTCCCTTTTTTCTTCTTCTTCCTAGCTTAGGTTTTTTAATTCCTGATCCTATCTGTTCTCTAATTTCAAGCTGTGAGTTTTCTGATAATATACGGTGCATTAATCACACAAACACACCTCCAGACGTCCCCCCGCTTTACCTCACAGTCATGCAAATGTTTGGCACGGCAGCCACACTACAGTGCCGGTGCTTGTCAGGTAGACGCATGCAAGTAATCAGAACATAAAACCTACTAAATGACAGCGTGTGGTCTGTGGGCTCTCTGCCGCTGAACATGACATTCCAGTCAGAGCTGTAACAAACAGGGCTATTATTTAGCTATCAATTCTCTGGAGCTGATGTCAGCTCATTTCATGATCTTGTGCCATCAGTTTGGGTGAGAGACAGGTACTCGTTGATCATGTCAGAATGTCTTACATGGTGCATGATCACTAATGTAGAGATGACCAATGTGATGCAGAAGCTGTCCTTACTATCTTATGTCTTATATGTTTTATGTCTCCTCACTGATTCTTAAGATACTGGACAAAACATGTCCCACACTGTAAAAAAAACTGTGACATTTACTGTAAAATACAGGCAGCTGTGGTTGCCAGAACTTCACCGTTAAAAATATGGTAGCAACATTTTAGGTTTTACAGACTTAACTTAAATTCACAATAAAAAAACGTATTTCATTAACTGATGTAATGATAATAAACCAGCATATTGAAGTACTAATATCTGTTTTGAACCATTGTAATACTGATAACCACCAAAAACAGGTAGTGATGAGAAAGTCACATGATGAAACAAAGCTCATCACAAACAGCTCTTCCACAAGCTGAAGAGGGAAGTACTTATATATATATATATATATATATATATATATATATATATATATATATATATATATATATATATACACACACATACACTATATATTTTGTAACGAATCAGATGTAAATTATACAATGACTTTTAATTTTTCACTTCCAAAAACCGTAATTTTAACAGTATTTTACTGTAAAATTACATTAAATGTAATTACAGTTATTCACCTTATATAGTATGGAAAGTTACTGATTAACAGGTTTTTACTGTAGCATTTTTACAGTCTTTTACTGTTAAAATCACAATAATTTTTTACAGTGCACATTTGCCATTAATTTGAATAACATTTCCATTTTTATATTAATTAGATATGATCACTAGATACAAATGTACTAATTCATCGTAATAACTGTTTATTTGATCAAAATTCTACAATTATCATTTGGCACTTTTTAAATTCATATAGAAAAAATGTAGGTTACTTGGTGCGCTTTTATACAACACATTTTTAATGCTTTATTTATTCTTTGTAATGCTCCTTCGTTGCATGATTTCATGAAAATTTCTAAGATAAAATACAATATAGTACTTATCTATTCATTGTTTCAATTTTAGAAAGTATAATGCATTAAAACTAGTGCTGTCAAATGATTAATCGCAATTAATCATTTGACAGCACTAATTAAAACACATTACAAACAACTCATTTCAAATGTAACATGGAATCTGCTAATATTACAATGCTTTTTAATTTGGTTACAAATAGATATGAAAAGATATAGGGCTAATGTATTACAGCGTACATTATGAATACCTTTATAATGCTTTATACATAAAGGCTTCAAGTGTTACCAAGATATTTTAATGATTTCCATTTTTGTTAAGTTTACTTATTATTTATTTTGTGCTGCAATCGCTGTATAATTTCTGTACGTTTTTACAAAGTTTTTAGTAAGAAAAAGAATATGAATATATATATATATATATATATATATACATATATATATCTCCATATTTGTATCTGTATTGTGTATATATATGGTTTCTTTTCTGCTGACTGGAGAACAGTCAAGGTTTTGTCTTTATTTTATGTGAGTGCTTAATCCTCACTGCAGAATGTTTGGCTGTGTTCCCCTGGAGAGCCTGGTCATTTATTTCACAGCTCTCAGGAAAATTGTAAATTAAATGTTGAGTTGTCGTAAATGAGATTCTTTATATAATGGAGATCTGCAGAAAGAGGCACACAGGTTTCAAAGCTCATTTAACTTTTCATATAACATGAGAGAATTTGTGTGAGGTGTTGAGCATTGTGAAATGCATACTAATGATTAAATGCTTTAAAGTTTCCCTTTCCTATTTTCTTGGGTAGTGTTATAGAGAGATGCTTGGAGATAACACATTGTCTGTATATGAAATATTTTTATGATCCTTTTTTGTCTTTCTTTCTTTGTCTCACCTACAGATTTGGACCTTCGGTATTTCTGGAGCTGGAGTTCTTTTGAGGACTATCTGATATTCTGCTTTGCCTTCACGCTGCTGTGTGCTTTCATAACGTTCCTCTTTCTGGACTGGGTCCTATTTGTGGAAACCTTGGGCTCTTTGGCTGTGATGTTTGAAGCCATGTTGGGACTGCCTCAGCTGCTGCAGAACTACAACAACCGCTCCACCCGAGGCATGAGGTAAACAAGGCCCAAACTGTTATTGATCTTTTATTAAAAGTTTGAATTTAGGCCTTAGTTTAATTTGTATGCAGTGCTGAAATTATTTCAGTCTATTGGAGAAATGACACACAGCTCATAACGTTCTGCTCATGTAAAAAAAATCACTACAACACTATTGTCCATTTATGCTATGTTCCAGTTAGCATTCAAATCATGCTACAGCCAATGTGTCGAAACCTCTTGTGGCAGTTTTTGTTCATTGTTGCCGTAATGTGTGTCGCCTGTGCCATGACGGGTAGAAGGTGAGAATGTTAAATTCACACATGGTAAATGTTTGCAGGACATGCCTCCCCCAAGACATCATTCATTAAAAGCACGTAATGATGATCATTATTATTAGACATCTAATGAGCTTGTTAATTGATGCCATAGCCCACTCTGCTCGAATCCGAAGACTGAAACAAAGTTGACCTTACTGGTACTTTTTGAAAAAATAAAAAAAAAATCCCGCAATGAGCACCAGAGAGAATTTAGAGTAAAGCTAATATCTTTAGCCTCAGGCTTTAGTCAGCATAGTAATCACAGCTCAATATCAGCTCCACTTCAGCTGAAGCCAGTTCTTTTTCCCTCTTTTTATTAAAAAAAAAAGGAAAAAGGCCTTATCTCATGGTCTGCTCCACAGAACACTGTGTGACACATGCTCCAGGCTCCCCTTTATGAGCCAAATTAAACATTATGGGCACAGTTTAGGCTGGGAGAGGGAAAATGGAAAATAATGTAAATGGCATTTCTCCGGAAATCTATCTTTTTATGAACACAGTGAATGTGTCACTGCCATAACATGTAGTGTGTAATGCCTTTGCCCTTGATGTGATTTCAGAGTGTCTGCAGGCATCGACATCCCTCGACCGATCACTGCACTGACATCTGTGTTTCTTTGCGTATGCGAGTGAATTTATTATTGGCAGAGCCTTTAGAGACATGGTTCAGAGTGTGTGTTTAAAGCCGTCCTTCAACATCTATGAGTGGAAAATATCTGTCACCAAGACAGCACTGCAGTGTTTGTGTGTGTATACATTATATTGTGTGCATATATCTGCGTATAAATATGTAGTGAACCTTTAAACCTGACAAGGCTCCCCACAAACTTGTTGGGATTTTGTCTAAAATTATTAAATGTGCAGTGACTACTAAAACAATATTAAAAAAAATAATTCACTCCAAAAAAATCTATCAACATTTACTCATCCTGAAGTAAAAATGCATCATGCCAGGTTTGACATATTGCATTTGTGATCTGTCTGTAATTATGTTTCAGTATACAGACATGTGAATGAGAATTGAGAGCTTCTGCAGATAATGAATAATTGAGACATTTCCATTTGTTCCTCATACAAAGAAACTACAGAAAGGTCAAAATATAATGAACAGATTTTATAATCTATTTTATGGCACTTTTGGGAGCTTGACAGCCCCTGGTCACTATAGCTCCATTCCAAAACCTAGTGAGCTGCTTATGTTGATTATATGTAAATATCTTTTTTCTTTCCAATAAAAATTGATCCGTACCAAAAAGTATTGATTATAAAAGTTAAAGTTTGGTACATTTAATTCACAGATTACCTATTTTATCCAACATTTGTATGTGCTAGGTAATTTTATGCTTATTGAATTAGCTTTAATAAATCTTAGGATTAGCAACATGCTAACAGCAAACTCTGTTGAAATGAATTGTGGCTTAAGTCTTCACGTGAGGAGTGCTACTGCTAATGTACAGTGTTTCAAATTGATCTCTTATTAGATTCTGTTTCAATTAGTATTCTACCTTAGAAGGCAGCTCACTATGCTTTGGGAAATTAGCCTATATGCTTTCACTGAATAGAAAAGAGCAGTGGCAACGTTCTTTAAACACCTGTTCCAGAGAAGAACAAGTCATATATGTTTGAAATGACATGATGGTGAGTAAATGGTGACAGAATTGTCATTTTGGGTGAACTATTTCTTTAATGTATTTAAAAAATATTAACAATAATTAAAAAATTCCAACCCAGGCTTATTGGAAAACGTGCCTGTGCCAATATTTCTGCAAAACTGTATTTGATTTTTGCACATTTGCCAGCGCTTTCAAATTGAATAGTCCAGTAGATGTTTTAAAAATAGATTAATCTGGCTAAGTTATAACATTGGTTGCTGTATATATTGCAGCACTACAGTGGCTCTTAAAGGCCTCTACTGTGTTAGAAAATAACACACCATGTACACTAAACCAAAATGAGATAGAAACACATTTGCTGGAATAACCATATCATTTTAGCTTCCTTCTACAATTCTTTGAGCTCTTTGATCATGACTCTTGTTTCACAGTACCCTTACCCGAGTGTATTGCTCTAAAAGGTGTGCTACCGAGCAAGTTTGCTATGTCAGAAAAGCCATACATATGGAGCTAGTTATGTGATACAAACGTCATTTTCAAATCATGCACTATGGTAAAAGTGTTTAAGGACATAACATAGTATTGAGCGAGGAACCATACTTAATTCTTTGTTAACATTATATCTGCTTCTCTAAACACTTTTTGAGTGAAAAGTTTTTGGTGTTTTAATGTTCATTTCATATGGAAACTGCAATGAATTGTATGTGTAGGTACATTTTTACACAGTTTTTTCACCCATTGAGTTTTGGTTGTAAAATGCTGTTGAGGTGGGTAGCTCACTAGATTGTGGAGCAGAGCTGTGCCCTTGTAGAGAGTTTTATGAGGTATTGTGATAGTCTACACATCAGTAGCTCTACCAATGACACATGCAGTACTGTCTTTAACAAGACCAACCATCCATATACCCTCTTACAGTCCTTAATATGGGCCACTGAAGCTGGGAGGGTCCAATGCTGTGCCCTTGAGCCAGATATTTATTGAACCTGATGGATTTCAATGGCCCATCTCCCCTTGCTATTCTCTGAAAGCTCCCATCTCTTGTTGACCTTCTTTCTCCTCATTTGAACTTCTCGTTGATTCTGTGTCCACTTCTGCTGCTGTTTAAATTCATGTTGCTCTGGTGAAAACAGAACAGGATGAAGTGAGAAACAGAAGGTCATTGTGTGTCACAGACTGTGACTGACATTAATGGGACGGGTATCCAGCGACACGTTGGCTCCCTTCTCCCATGAGGCTTTACCCCATTTTTCAAGTTCTGAAAGACCCTCAGAATTCTTGACAGGGGCTTTTTTGTGTGTGTTCACATTTGTATTTTTTACAGAAATTGATTCCTTATGTTTCAGATTTTGGACCCTGATGGCTTTGTTGACACATGTGAGCAGAAGGAGCTCAACCTATTTATCTAAGGGTTTTTTTTTCTCACGTTATTGTGTGTGTGTGTGTGTGTGTGTGTGTGTGTGTGTGTGTGTGTGTGTGACAACCATATACAGTGTGAAATATATTTCAAATTTTCAAAT